TGAGAGGCTGTTTCTGCTGCTGTTGTGTCAGAATTAATCAATGATTTTCCACGACCCTTTCTCGGAGTCGGTTAGCTCAGTTGGCTGGATGGTTGGTTTGTGATGCAGAGTGAAACAGACAAGTTCTATTCCTGCACCAGTTGAAGTCAACATGAAGGCCTTGCCTCTCACCTGAGGTTAAACTGCCACCAATCTTCTTTCTAATGAGTGAGTGGGACTGCAGAGGCTTGGCTATTTTGACAGCATTTTCCAGTGAATTTCCCACTATATCTTGGGTATCTGTTCAGTATGGGCTTCTACAATGATCTAATTTACAGAACTGCAGCACGTTTCAACCCAATCACTAACAAGATTCAGAATCAATGCAGTGACTCTTCGTTCTGAGGAAGGGTCACTGGACCCAAAATTTTAACACTGCCTTCTCTCCACAGATGATGCCTGACGTACCTGCTAAGATTTTCCAGTGATTTCTGGTTTTGTTCCATTCGAGTACATTTCCAATTGCCTTTTACACTTTGGGAACTGCTTCTTCTGTGCTGAATGAGTGCTGAGGCCATTTGGCCCATCTGATCAAGGTCCTGTTGTACTCTGATTTAACCTACTTCACTGTCCACTACACCACCAATTTAGGTGTTATCTGCAAACTCACTAACTATTCCTCCTGTATTCACATCCAAATCATTTATATAAATGACGAAAAACAGTGGACCCAGCACCAATTCTTGCGGCACACCGCTGGTTACAGGCCTCCAGTCCATAAAACAACACTCCACCACACCCTTTACCATTTATGGCAGTACTCCTTAGCTTGCAGCCTTTCATTTGGATTACGCAGGAGTCTGAACAATCTGAAAGGAAGATAAAATGTTGTCATAGCCTTACCAAACCAGAGGCCTGCACTCTCATTAGGGAGAGATGATGGGTGGTAGTTTAACCTGAGGGTTATCATGCCTCAGGCAAGGGAGAGGCTGAGGAGAGTACTTCATGTAATCTCTGCCATGGTGTGTGCATGCTTGTGTGTGTTTGTGTATGTGCATGTGTGTGTGCATGTGTATGTGCATGTATGTGTGTCCACGTGTGCATGCATGTGTAACTGTGTATGTGCATGCATGTGTAACTGTGTGTGTGTTGCATGTGTAACTGTGTGTGTCTGTGCGTGTGCATGTGGGTCTGTGCGTGTGCATGTGGGTCTGTCCGTGTGCATGTGGGTCTGTGCGTGTGCATGTGTGTCTGTGTGTGTGTTCAACTGTTGTTAATTGTTGTGTTGAGTTGACCTCTTAACTGGAGTCAGGACGACTGCACAGTCAACTATCTGTCAGCTTCTAGAGAACTTTTATGTTGAATTATCAGTAGGATTGCAGGGGATAAATCGGTCTCTGAATTTTTAGAAGGTCAGATCTCCTAGAAATTGATCATGTGGTTTTGCCAAAGGCTGGTAATGGAAAAGATCATTAGGATCAATAATGAACATAATCACCAGGCTTCCTGTTAGCAACTGGATCAACCGTTATCATCATGAGCTGACAACGCATATCTGACTTTCCTTCACAGAGGCCAACACAGAAAACAGTGCAGTGCTTCTGATGCCCACTGTTTCGCAATTGGAACAAAAGATGGACAAGGACCAGGCGACGGTTATGTCTTCCATTGTGGACACTGGAGTTACCACAGTCGGAGAAATCCTGTCCACAAAACAACTGATCATTCGCCGTGGCCTAGCCTTCCTTTCAGGACTGCTTATACTCGTAACGGGACTGGTGATACACTTCAGTCTTGAAAAGGACCTGTAGACCCCGGCATGGGTAAATACATTTCTCTTTCTCAAGGGCACCTGTTGAGACTCTCGTGAGGGTAAATTTTTCATTTTTGGGGGCTATGCTTTCATTTTCACTAACTCATTTGTTAACCGATGCTGTCAAATACTCTCGCAACCTTGTGCATTTCTGTTGGCATGTGGGGTATTTGGATTTGCACAGAAGTAACATGAGAATATTTTGTCAACATACTTGATAACTATCTGTTCTACATCGAACTTAAAGCCATAATATACGAGGAAAGCTTTAGTTTTCCAGACACAACAGGATTTAAATTGGCACAAAACAACAGGCTTGGGAACAAAAGCTTTCGTTCTTCAAAATAATGAGCACAGACTTCTAAACAGGAGAAGCCATCACCTTGAACACAAGTTCTACTGATTGGTGAGATCACAGCTGATGTGTTTCCATTACACACGCACAAAGCTGGAAATTTGACGAGGTATTTATTCCCAATTTACTGCTTCTCAGATTTAAATTCAATCATGGACAGTATTTGTTTCGATAGGATACACTATATTTTTTTCATGTCATAGAGTCATACAGCACGGAAACAAACCCTTCGGTTCAACGTGTCCATGCCAAACTTAATCCCAAACTAAACTTGTCACTAGGCAGGTGGGACTACCTACCTGCTCCTGCCCCATGTCCCTCCAAATCTTTCCTATTCATGTACTTATCCAAATGTCTTTCAAACATTGTAACTGTATCCACATCCATCACTACCTCAGAACGTTCATTCCACACACGAACCACCCTCTGTGTGAAAAAAAGCCTGTCGTTTTTTTTTTAAATCTTTCTCCTCTCCCCTTAAAAATGTGCCCCCAGTCTTAAAATCCCCTATCCCAGGGAAAAGGCAACTACCATTAACTCTAGCGATAGCAAGAACTGCCGATGCTGGAGTCTGAGATAGCAAGGTATGGAGCTGGAGGAACACAGCAGGCCAGGCAACATCAGAGGAACAGAAAAGTTGACATTTCGGGTCGGGACCCTTCTTC